TACATTTCAGACCTCAAAAAAAGAGACTAAAATTATAGAACATGTAAATTAGGTATCAACAATGAAATTTTTATTTTTTCTTGTTAATAAGACAAAATATATCAAATCTCTTGATTATATTTGAAACTTTAGAGAGCCCAGCTAAACATCTATCAAATGAATCATAACCAAATTGTAAATTTAGAAATAATATATAAAATTCTGAGATCATATAACTTGTTCTACTGCTCAATTAAACTCATCCTAAGATCCGAACCTCCACTTATCGTTTGTTGTTTTTGTCTCTCCAATCTAAAAATTTCCGATCCATTTTGGAGAAAAGAGTAGTTGCAAATCCACGAAATAAGAAATTCATTACGACGATACAGAACATTACGATTAGTTGTTGTATTCCTGAGAACGGAGTTTGGTGGAGGGGGTACTTGTACACCTTGATTATCCACAAAATAGATACTTGCATTATCTTCATCAATTCTTTCGATCCTTGCTTCGACATTGCGCCCAATATGGAGTACATTTATGTTGTCGTTTTGATAAGAGAAACTATCCTTGCGGAATAACATTTTGTAAGAAAGATCGTTTAAATCTGTTTGTGAACAAAAAATTTTGGGGAGAAAAAGTTCCACAATTTTTGGTTCTAAATACAAAATTTCCTTATTTATATCAATTTGTTAATGAGAATAACAATATAATTAATGATGTCATGCGTTTCTCGCTCAGAAATAATGTTAAGTGAATTAAGTCCTTACCAAGAAGTGAAAAAATATTTATAAGTGGACGAGAAAGAATTTCTTAAACTCGACGTTACAAAGATTTTTATATGTGACATTTGAAATATTTTTTCTTTACGTCAAATCTCACTGCGGTTAGGATTAGCTAAGCATTATAAAAGAAACTGAAACGGCTAACCATTTTTCGAACGTCCCACAAAAAATAACAGCAGTTAAATCACCACCCTAATTAATTTCGCTGGCCAATCAGATTTCAAGATCTTGTGTAACGAAAAGAAGT